TCCCAAACTCCTTTGGCTCTAAGATTTTCCCATTCCTTATCTAAGGCAGCTTTTGCTTTGGGATTCTTTCTGATTTCGTCTTTGGGAACCAAACGCGCAACAGCAGAAAACAATTCAAGTGCTACTTTGAATTCCAACTCTTGGATCTTTCTCTTGATCATTTCCCTGAATTCCGGTCGATGCAACTCAGCTTTTGCTGGTGCAGCCTTCGGCATGGCCGGGACACAAAACTTTGGTCTGTCCTTTGGGATGACTTCCCATTGGGCTACTTCTGGCTCACCTGAGGGGCTAGGGCTTAACCGAAGCTTTCTTGCAGTTGCCACCGCACTCTTCTTCTTCCCTGTGCCCTTTGGAGCTGAGCTTGACGCAGCACCTCCACTACCAACAGCCATTTTCTCGGCTTCCTCATCAATGAGCTTTTGCCTGTCCTTTGGACTGAGCATTTTCCAGAGATCCAATGGGATTGATTCTGGGCGCTTTGACCCTTTGTACGTCTTCACAAGACGAATGCCATCCCAATCCGGAATGGGTTTTCCCGTTGGAGTGTACTTGATTTCAGGAAACATTTCCTCTTCTGCTGGTTGATCTTCACTGGCAAGTGCGTCAGGCACTGCCTCCGGTGACTTGTCAATTGCCTCTTCACCTGTTTCAGCCTGTCCTTCAATTTGCAATTCAGATTGAAATGGAACCGGACGAGGATCAGCAATGACATTGTCAGCAAGACGATCTGGCTTGGGCTCTTTGGCCTTTTTCAACTCACGGAGTGGGAGCACAAAACCTCCCTCGATGAGCTCAACACGACGTGCTCGCTGCACAGTGATGCTGCCATTTTCTGCATGGTAATCCAAAGCTTCCAACTTGGCAACGAGATACTCACCCTTCCATGCAAAACCAGGTTGCACGTGGTATCCCAAAAATATTCCATCATTTGCAGTAGGTGATGTTTTCCCAGATGTGTTGTCAGCCCTTTTTGGATTGTTCCAAGACAGTATTTTCGCACCGAAAGGAATCAACTGACCTGGGAAATCCTCATCAAAACAAAGATTCCACGGGGCATCATCACCATTGAGCTGCGGAGTTGCGTTCACAGCCATTGAGAAATGCTGCATAGCCATTGGCCAGTACTGCAACGGGACTGCGCAAGATTTGTGCGAGTGCCTTCGAACTGTCCACATACTCTGTTGATGTTTGCTGGCGATAACCCAATTCCCCAATGGTAGCAATGAGTTCTCTTGAATTGTCGGTGTAAACTGCCCCAACTTCATCCTTGTGTGACAGGAAATGGTTGAAAGCATTCACGCATGATTCACTTGATTTGGTTTGGCTAGGATAGGCATGTCTGAGCTACGTGTGGATGTCCTTCATCACCAATGCCACCGTTTCACCTTTGACGCCTTCTTCCACGTTAGCTTTAACAACCGTGTGGTCAGCGACAATGTGATCCCTAAAACTTTTGGTTTCCGATCTCTTCTGCCCTCCCTTCTTCTTTGCGGGCGGCGCCATCATGCGCGCCTTCTGGCAGACTTTGCAGAAAGGGTTTTTGGGATAATGGCAAAATTGGTGAGCTTTGCTACTGGCTTCATGTTCTAGGTCTGAGGCCTTTCTAGATCGAATGTACTCGGTTTCACTATCTTGAGCTACTCCCTCCTCTATCCCATCATCCTCTGCCTCTGCCGCCCTAGCGGAAACCATCGCAAAAAGCCGCAGCAAGTCACAGTCCTTCTTGAACTGCTTGCTGTTCAGGACTCGGCAGGAGCTATCGATAACTGGCACCCGGCCCTCCACGTTCAGCTCTATGACTCCCATGTCTGGACGAATGAAGTATGGCCTACCATCAGCCGGCCAAACGAAGCTGTACCCCTGTTCCATGCATCGGGCCCCCACTGGCAAAACTGCAGGAGTCTCCTCTAGAATGTACGGGGAAAACGGCTGATGTAGGGCCACCTCATCCGCACGAGTTGAACCGTTTGCTGTGGCTAAGCTAATTGGATGTTGCTGACATGACGGTTCGTCGCCTTTGCAGTTTTCAGCATCCCCTCGCTGATAAGATCTTGCTCACTGCCTGTATCCACTAACCATACACATCCATCCTTTGAGGCGGGGGTTGCGACAGTTGGCAAGTGAGTGTTACTGACCTTATTCTTCGGACCGATCAAAGCTCTGCAGTGGTTACATGATGTTCCGCCTTCCTCATCATTGCAGCGGAAGCGACATTTCGGCGGCGACTCACTGCCAAAGAGTTTCACGAGCTCCTGCAACTGCCTGGCCGAAACCTGGGCACGGTGAGCGATCAGCTTGTCAGGCTTTGGTACCGACTCTGAATCTGGGTAGCTCTTTTCATAGATTCGGGGTCCACTACCTTTCTTTGCTCGCCATTCGCAGGGACTTTGAAGTACTCCACTTTTGATGAAAATACAACAACTCTATGGCATTGGTCTTTCATGGCTTTTGTGGCCTTCGGGAACCCTTTTCCCTTTGCAATACAAGCATACCTTTGGGTGATGCATGGCGCAGCTTTTGCGCTGGCCTTCTTCTTTGGTGCAGGGCTATTTGTTCGTTTGGGATCTTTGTGGGTGCAGCTGCATTTTCATGTTTGTAAAAACATGTGTCACCAAGACGACATTTGCCCTGTTGAAAGTATGTGCAAGGGATCTTAGCCATCTCTTACTTTGATTTTCTTGATGGGGAAGCACTTCTACCACTGCCTTTGCCCTTACCCTTCTTTTTCGGGGTCCCAGATCTTGAGGTATCCTTGACATGTTTGTAGGGACAGTCCTTTCCTTTCTCACATTTACCATCCCGAAACTTGTAACATATCTTGTCCCCTTTCGCACTCTGGCTTCGACCGCGGGACTCCTTTTCCTTTTCCACGATGTTTTCCCCCCTGAGCGGGTGCAGCGGGCTGAGGCTTTTCAGTCTGCTTGTTCTTTTCAACAATCCGGTTCCTATTTGATCGGAGTCTTTCTCTGTCTAGAAGATCTCGGATGTTTCTGAGTAAGAATGCATAGGACTTCTGCTCTGACTTTTCGGGAGCTCTGTCAAATGCTTCAATGTCATACTTCGTCAACTGACATTTTCGGATTTGTCGAAGCAAGATGTCTCTAAGAACCAAATCATCTGGTGGGGTTTCCATACCGGCAATAGTGGCATCCCATCGGTTCAAAAACCTTCTAAGGTCCTCCACAGACTCCCCAGTGCGAACGGCTCCTAACAAGTCCTCAACACGATAGAGGCTACCGGCTTCCTCAGACGTCCTGAAGTAGTCTTCAAACATCAAAAGGACTCTCCTACCTCTGACCTGGATCCCGTTCTTCGACTTCTCATCTTTGAAGTTGTGGATCTTTGTTGCTAAATCACCCTTGGCAGAGCGAGTTAACGCTGCCGACAATTTGGTATCAAGTGTGATGAACTTGCCTGGGTCTTGTAGCTTTTCTTCCAACTGGTCCCTTGGGGCCTTGTTGTCAAAGACTTCATTGAGCCAAATCCAAGCCTCATCGGGTTTGTCGGAGCATGACTTGACCTCGTCCCTGACATGGTTACGCCAATGACGATAGGCTTCTGGGGCAGGCATGTCGTTCAGCTTGATAGTCTCTGCCTCTTTTGTGCGGGGCCTTTCATCACCTGAATCCTTTGAAGTCAGTCTAGTGATGAGATCTACAAGTTGTTGACCTGAAAGACCTAAGCCTGTCTCAGAACCCCTCTTGTCAGGCTCACTTGCTACAACCGCAGGACTACGCACACTTGGTTCATTGTTTGCTTCTTCATTTGGTGGTCTTTGCACAGGTAGTGGTGGTAACTTCGGAGGTGCTGCTGATCCTGCAGGGGTAGTGGCAAACAGATTACTCAACTTTTCCTTTGCGTCTGCGGCTAAGCCGTCCATACCTGAGCTAGGCTTGGGTTCTTCTCCAGCCTTCGTGCCAACCGACTTTGGGGTCATGTACAAGTCCAGATTTATCCCGCCTAGTCCGTCGTCATCATTGCCGACTTCATCAATCTTGATCTCAGGGGCGCTGTACTTGTTGAGTTTCTCCATCAGTTCCTCTACTTGCTCTTGAAGTTGAAAGTTGAGTTCAGCAGCCTGAGATTCCTGTCTACTGCACTCCTCTCTCATGTCCTGGATTACAGCTTGTTCCTCTTTCTTGAACCCTTCCATACCTTTTCTTGCGTATTCCACCGTGTCATCCACGATTCGTTTACAGTCTGCCTCGAGGCTACCTCTGAGTTCGGGATACCTTTGTTCATACTGGATTGCTATGTGAGCTGCCTTTTGGTTTGCTCTTTGCTCAGCTTCCAGTTCTACTGCATTTGCAGCATTCTTTAGCTTTGCATTTGCATCGCTAAGTTCCTTCCTCAGTTTTGTGACCTCCTACTCAGCTGCCGTTCGGGACACTGCATGTTCTGCTGTCATCTGTTCATGTCTAAGCTCAGCTTCTGCGCGATGTTGGGCAACCTCACTAAGACAAACTTGCTCAAATTCTTGATGCAGTTGCTGAACCTTTTGTTCGATGATCTGTGCGTGCCTTTCCTCAGCTTCACGTCTGAATGCGTCAATGTTACCTTCATTTATGTAGGTAAGATTGTTCTGCACAAACTGAAAGTACGCCTGGACTGGTTGACTGAAGAAACCTTCATCTACAGCCATGGGCGTGGGATTTGCCACAGCCGAACCATCCGACGGGGCTCCAGTGTGTGCAGGCATCATTGAACCTGTCGCTGGGACGATGGCACCACCTGGTCCAGATATGTCACCAGGTGTCCTTTCCATGGCTTTAGAGACTACGGCTGACAACCTGTATTTTCAGGTTTCAGCAAAGGGATTATGTCATAATACCCAAATGGACTGATAAACCTAAAACCGTTTAGCAAGCAGCTAAAGCGCTTTTTACACCTGAGCCGCAACAGCTACCGTAAGCATACTATATTACAGTGTGTTTTACATGGGATGCAATTGCAGTTTTTATGGGTTTTGATGCCCTCAGCACATTTTCAAGCAGGTGCACCTTTGCCAAAAAGGCAGTCGAAGTCAACATGTACAAGCCTGGCAGAGCAGAATGGACAAAGCACATCAAAGCATGATCTTGGGATCGCCTTGCAGCAAGAATTGGGGGCTCAACCAGTGACCAGCTTGAATCCCAGAGCATCCAGACATGGTGCACGCAATGCATCCATGCTATATGAAAGCACTTCTAAAATCTTCTGGCAAATCTTGAAAACTCTGGTCTAGAAGACCTCGGCAGTCACAGGAATTCACCGTGAATCATCCTGTTCATCTTCGAGCCTTCCAGAGTCAGTGTCGAGCAGAATATTTTCGCCGTGACGATCGCCAAGGCCCACCAAATAACCAAGCATGGACCAGAGCGCCTGACAAGTGCATGTGTGAAGCAAACATGCTACGCTGCTGCTTCAGGTCCAGGGGTAACGGACGAAAGCTAGCTTGGCAGGGAACTTGGCATGAGGGCACAGTGCAGCTGTACAACTTTTTCGTCAATGTGGACGAGCGGATCTGAAGCTGGGGCGTGTTGGTAAGGTGAACATTCAAACCTACGTATTGAGGCGATATGTTGGAGGAAACGAGGATGAGAACAGAGGAAAGCCAGAATAGCCATAGCCATAGCCAACATGCTGACTAGTGATTGGGGGGGGGGTTCAAAGGTCCACCTTCGGCATCGTAGTGGACCTTTGGCGGCGCGGGAAGAAGGAACGCAGTGCAAAGCTGAAGTTGAGGACGAGAGGTAGGTGTGCGTGCGCAAAATGAAAATTAAGCTAGGCCACGGCCCCATAGAGCGCTAAGTGTGAAAAGCGTTAAGTTGTGAGGGTGTAAAGTGAAGTGTAAGGTGTAAAGTGTGAAAGTGTAAAGTGTATAGTGCGGGCTGTAAAGTGTAGAGTGTGGAGCGTGCAGTGTACAGTGTGAAGTGTAAAGTGTAGATTGTGGAGTGTAAAGTGTAGAGTGTACTGTGTGGGGTGTGGGGTGTCAAGTGTAGAGTGTGGATTGTAAAGTGTAGTGTGTAGAGTGTGGAGTGTGGAGTGTAAAATGTAGAGTGTACAGTGTCAAGTGTAAAGTTCAGAGTGTGGAGAGTGAAGTGTAGAGTGTGGAGTGTCAAGTGTCAAGTGTGAAGTGTAAAATGTAAAGTGTAAAGTATAGAGTGTAGAGTGTAAAGTGTGGAGTGCCAAGTGTAAAGTGCAGAGTGTAGAGTGTGGAGTGCGCAGTCTAAAATGTAATGCGTGAAGTGCAAAGTAAAGTGTAGAGTGTGCAGTGCAAAGTGCAGAGTGCAATGCGCAGAGTGGAGAATGTGGAGCGTAAAGTGTGAAAAGTAAAGTGTAAGGTGTAAAGTGTGAAAAGTGAAGTGTAAGGCGTAAAGTGTGAAAAGTGAAGTGGAAGGTGTAAAGTGTAAAAGTGTAAAGTGTAAAGTGTAGAATGTGTGGACTGTAAGTGTGGAGCAAACAGTGTGCAGTGATGTACCGTGTATAAAGTGTGTAAAGTGCAAGGTGTGGAGTGTAAAGCGTAGAGTGTAGAGTGTGGGGTGTGGCGTGTCAAGTGTAGAGTGTGGAGTGTGTAGGCTGTAGAGTGTGGAGTGTAAACATTTAGTGTAGTGTTAAGTGTAAAGTTCGGAGTGTGGAGTGTAAAGTGTATATAGAGTACGCAGTGTCATGTGTGGAGTGTGATGTGTAGAGTGGAGAGTTTGGAGATGTTTGGAGTGTAAAGTGTACAGTGTGGGGTGTAAAGTCATGTAAAGTCTAAAGTGTAGCGTGCGGAGTGTAGAGTGTAGAGTGTGGAGTGTAAAGTGTAGAGTGTGCAGTGTAGTGTAGAGTGTGCAGCGTAGAGTTAGAGGGTGGAGTGTGGAGTGCCACGTGTAAAATTAAAGTGTGGGGTGCCAAGTGTAAAGTGTTACGTGCAGAGCGTGGAGTGTGGAGCGCAAAGTTAAGAAGTTCAGAGTGTGGAGTGCAGAGCACGGAGTGCAAAGTATAGTGGGGAGCGCAGAGGATACTGATGTTGATGTTGCTGACGGGGGAGGGGGGGTAGTTAACTGAGAGGTTTCTCGCGATTGCAGATTCCAGCCCTCCCCAATACCTTGCTAAAGCAAGAGGGACTTCAGCTAGCAGAAGCTAGCTTTCGTGATAAAGGCGGATTTGAAGGCATATAGCCATCATCTCACCAGTTTGTAAACCATCATATGAAGGAAAAGGATGTGAGAAACTTATTGCAGATGATTCCCCGTTCAAGGCGCATTGTGCGCTCAAGCACGGCAGTAGAGAAAGCGGCGTGCACAAACAAACTGCTCATGCCAGGCCAAGATAAAGACCGGGAAACTGTTCAAACACATGCTCCCGAGAACAACCATCATGATCATGAGAGCGATCGGCAAGTCTCCCATTCTTACAGCCGGAGAACAACAACGACATGGTATCGTGTCAGCGCCAAAGGTCTACAGTAGACAGACATGCGCAAACCAGCAGCGGCAAATAATTAAAATGCTAGTAACGGATTCTACACATTAGCATTCCCTGCTTCCAGCGTTAGACTTCTTACATAGAGACCTTCTCTTATTGCAGTACTCCTTTGCACCCCGTAGCAACGCGCTCGTGCCTGTGGCTGGGAATCCCATGCAGAAATCTGCAAAATCCATGGTAACATGTGTTGAGACATGCAAAAACATCCCGGCGCCTGGTTTACCGCGCGTGTGTTTTGGCATTTTCTCAAGAGTCTCTATGATGACCTTCATGTTTATCTCTTGGTATTTGCAGGACTTTTGAAGCAATCATCATCATGTTTGGTCACAAAATGTGGCTAATTCCATTGTGTTTTATTTTTTCCATCATTTTTCACTTGTATTTGCACGCTTTTGTGAACGCCAGGAGTAGAAAAAGGCTGTTTCAGGATGCCTTGTTTTTTTGATGGATTTGCTTTTCGCCACAGGGAGACAACAAAAAAATCGGACTTTTCGGTTTTTTTCTGGCGCAGCACTTTCACTGCATGTCCGCTCGCAGAGTCTCGGCTGTCAAACGGCTCAGATTGGGACAGGCACTGTTTGTGTAGCATCAGGTATGTGTGCAAGTGCAAGAGACGAGGTCGGTACAGTAGCGTAGCATCACGTATGTGTGCAAGTGCAAGAGACGAGGTCGGTAGCGTAGCATCACGTATGTGTGCTAGTGCCATTGAACGTTATTAGCCCACCCCACTCCACCCCAACCCATCTGTAGCGTAGCATCAGGTATGTGTGCAAGTGCAAGAGACGAGGTCGGTAGCGTAGCATCAGGTATGTGTGCAAGTGCAAGAGACGAGGTCGGTAGCGCAGCATCAGGTATGTGTGCTAGTGCCATACGGTAAACCAGCCGCCAGCAAAAACATGTCATGGCAGCTCATGACATACCGGGTTTCAACAGTCATCAAGCCAAAGCGCTAAACATTACAAAACGTTGGAAAGGGGCGGGGTACCTATGAGTGGAATGAAATACGGTATGTACATAGAAGCAGCGTGTAATATGTGGCCCCCATGCTTCTGCTAGTGGTCCTCTTTGCTCAGGAAGCATCGCCACGAGTCAGGCTACCAGAACATCTGGAACCAATTGTTGCAAAAATTGGTCAACCAGGACATGCTCGGCATTGAGAAGACCAAAGCCCCGCCGATTCCAAGATTTCCAAGACAGGCTGGTAAATGACTTTCCGAAGGGTCAAAACGACACCAGGTCAACGCACTGCCACAAACGCAGGAATCTCAGTGCTTTTTTTGAAAACATGGAAAGCCAGAACGACTGAGAAAGACACTTGGTCCCTGCTCTCTAAGAGGTCGGCTGTACACTCAGTTGATTGATCTGATAAACAAAAAAGTCAGTTCTGTACAACCCTCCTTGAGATCTTTGAGCGACTGGAGTGTTGGAGGCAATATCCGCTTCAAGAGATGCGCACACAGGTTGACAACCCAAAAGAGGCTCACAACTGTGAACATATGAGACGGGAAAAGGATGGAAAAGGCGTGGGAAGGGGAAGATGAGTTGAAATGGCAAAGCGGCAAAGCACCGGCTGGATCCGATTAGTCTAGGTGGGCTGATCAGTCACCGAAGGCTTTGGCTCGACCTTGTCTTGCCAACCTTGTCTTGTTTGAGAGATTGGAATGATTGGAATGTCTCGATCAATTTCAAGCACTTACCGCGCACTTTGTTCCGTGCCAGTGACTCTGCTCCAGTCACGAGTTGACTTCTTCGTAGATGGTCGATGCTACCATAGGTGGACGAAATATTCAAACCCTATCCGGAACAACCCCCTCGCTCCCAAAGTTCAATGTCAATGTAGCCTGAGGGGCAGTAGCCCCAATGGACGAATGGAATCAAACGCTCAACATCACTTTTGCTAACGCGTCCGCGCGCTGAAACATTGAGATTTGGGGGCCGGGGGGCTCAACAAAGTGTGTGCAGGGTTTGAATATTTTGTCCATCTAGCGTCTCGCTCTCTGATGTTTTAACGTCTTTTGGTATCCAGACTCTATTGTGGAAACATCTGTGTGCATGCTGCTGATATTATTCCAAACTGTGTAAAACACTGCCTTCTCCCAGGTGCGTCCCATTCCCTACAACTAATTCGCAGCTTGTTCCAAAATGTGCAAAACAATGTATTTTCATGGGTAAAAGCTGCATGTGTGTCTCGTCCCATTCTTTCTAGTCCCTAATTCATACCTTATTCCGTCTTGGCTGGGAAGAAAGGGATGCGTGCTGAGGTAGAGTCTTAGAGCCTCAATCGCAAGATATGACCTATATCATATATCGATCTACAATACATCTTATGTCCACGTGTTGCCACAGTTGTCGGACCTTTGAGAACCCATACGTCACCTGAAAATTCATGAGTATTAATAAGAAAATGCTCACGCTATGCCAACTGGATCCAATTGGTATGAAACCAAATAATGAGGACGGGCCTGGGACTGGCTGAACAGTACTCGCTTCGCAAACCAAACCGAGGGGTCTCCGCACTTCAGGAACCACCTGGCGCTCAGAGTGCTTGCCAGATGAAGAGCTGGTCAGCTGGTCTCGTGGTTTCCACACCAAAGGTGACTCAGCATGTGGCGCTATAGAAGGTCAATGTGCTGGATGTTCTTCACACGCCACATGATTTCAACAGTCCCCAGCACATCAAAAGTTCAAATCCACTGAAACTAGTTTCTTCGGATTTCCAAGCTCCCAGACTTGTGAAGCACTGGAGGATGGCGAGGCAGGACTTGCTTGGTGAAGGTCTCGTAGGGATCCTTCGGGTGGTTCGGCCCCCAGACTGTTGTGAATCCATCGAATGATCAAATTCAAGAAACAAACAGAAACAAACTGAATTCGATGCTTCCTGACGTGGCTGTAGCATCTGGAATCTGTGGTATTTTGGAGCGTGGATCTACTACAAAAGTTTACGTGGTGTTGGAACATGATTAAGAACATTTGAAATTGGCCTGCATAGCGCTTGTGTAGCAGCTCGTCAGTTTCAGTGGTCTCGTATCTCAACGTGTCGCCGGTTCCGGGCTGGTTCTGGGAGGTTCTGTGGTTCCAGCGAAGGTTTCAGGCTTCCGGTGTGGCCGGGCCGTTCCGGAGGTTCCAGTGTGGGTTCTGGCCAGTGTGGTGGTCGCGCCTGTCACTTGATAAGCGTTTCACTGGTTGCTGTCACGCTTTTCCTGCCTTTGCTGTTGCTGTTGGTGATACCACCTCGGATTATTTCAGTTTTTGTGGTTGCTTTTAGCATATGCAATCTTACACACATGTCAATATGCTGCAATGGTCATCTTTGTCTTTGCACACCTGTTGAGCTTTGCCTTTCCAAGCTTGTCCCACCGCGAGACTATCGCATGTGCGCAACTTCTATGAACGTCTCAGCAAGACAAGCATGACCAATATTTGGCTCCTTGCTGCGATCAAACATGTCTTTTATCTGAGGCAGGCTTGGACGAGCATGCTTGCGAGTTTTCCAAAGATCATCAATAACGTGTCCTGAGACATGCTGAGGGAATCTTGGGAGGCCATCTGCATAGGGTTAGGGTATGTTAGGGTATTGTTGAAGGTTGGACGTCGTCAATGTCTGAAATACCCTTCGAATCCCTTTGAAGCAAAGTTTTGAAACTTACCTTGCATGCAGAACACAGCATCCAGCTGTGGGTCTGCTTCCAAAATATTGCGCCAAATATAAAAAGCAATGGCTGAAAGCACTGGTACATATTGTAAAGCATTCTTGCGGTTCTAAGCTGCCAAGGCAAGAAAAGTATGAACAACCATGCAGCTTTCTGTTCTTCAGGATCCTATATGATCTATATATGCCAGTCCCTCTCACAGCATCGAGAACGACCATGCAGGAATCATTGAAAAATATTGAACTAGACGACGGATGGCCCGAGAGCGTAGAGGAGCAGAGTCTTCTGTTGTTAGTATGGAGACACTATATTACAAGATAATATGATAAAGATGTATTATAGGCAGACGAGAAGAGTAGTATCAAGACAATATATGACTAGTACAAGACAATAGTTTGCATCGTATTTTTGTAAAGTTTTTCATACACAGAACTTTTTACAGACAGACGCTTTTGCACACAGAGACTTTTACACACAGACGCTTTTACACACAGACGATTTTGCATACAGAGACTTTTACACCCAAACACTTTTACACACAGAGACTTTTACATACACAGACGCTTTTACACACAGAAGCTTTTACACACAGACGCTTTTACACACAGACGCTTTTACACACAGACGCTTTTACACACAGACGCTTTTACACACAGACGCTTTTTACACACAGAAGCTTTTACACACAGACGCTTTTACACACAGAGACTTTTACACACAGACGCTTTTACACACAAGCGCTTTTACACACGGACGCTTTTACACACAGACGCTTTTACACACAGACGCTTTGACACACAGACCCGTTTACACACAGAGGCTTTTACACACAGAAGCTTTTGCACACAGACGCTTTTACACACAGACGCTTTTACACACAGACGCTTTTACACACAGACGCTTTTACACACAGAGGCTTTTACACACACAAGCTTTTGCACACAGACGCTTTTACACACAGACGCTTTTACACACAGAGACTTTTACACACAGTTGCTCTTGCACACAGACGCTTTTACACACAGAGGCTTTTACACACAGAAGCTTTTACACACAGACGCTTTTACACACAGAAGCTTTTAGACACAGACGCTTTTACACACAAACACTTTTACACACAAACACTTTTACACACAGACGCTTTTACACACAGACGCTTTTACATACAGACACTTTCACACACAGCCGCTTTGACACACAGACACTTTTACACACAGACGCTTTTACACACAGACGCTTTTACACACAGACGCTTTTACACACAGACGCTTTTACACACAAACGCTTTTACACACAGAGGCTTTTACACACACACGCTTTTGCACACAGACGCTTTGACACACAGACGCTTTTGCACACAGGCGCTTTTACACACAGACGCTTTTACACACAGACGCTTTTACACACAGATGCTTTTACACACAGACGCTTTGACACACACACACACTTTTACACACAGACGCTTTTACACACAGAGGCTTTTACCCGCAGAGACTTTTACACACAGACGCTTTTACACACAGAGACTTTTACACACAGACGCTTTTACACACAGAGACTTTTACACACAGAGGCTTTTACACACAAACACTTTTACACACAAACACTTTTACACACAGACGCTTTTACACACAGACGCTTTTACACACAGACGCTTTGACACACAAACGCTTTTACACACAGACGCTTGTGCACACAGTCTTTTACACACAGACGCTTTTACACACAGAAGCTTTTACACACAGAAGCTTTTACACACTAACACTTTTACACACAAACACTTTTACACACAAACACTTTTACACACAGAGACTCTTACACACAGACGCTTTTACACACAGACAAGTCCGGCACAAGTAAAATCGCATTTTTTCCTCAGTTTTTGCCGATCGACCCTCATTTCGTGCGAAAGGGTTGCTTTAGGACAAGTAAAATCGCAATTTTTTCCTCAGTTTTTGCCGATCGACCCTCATTTCGTGCGAAA